AATGTGGGAATCGAGGAATGTGGGAATTGGGGAATGTGGGAATTGGGGAATGTGGGAATTTGGGGAATATGGAAATTTGGAGAATGTGGGAATTTGGGGAGCGTGGGAATTTGGGGAATGTGGGAATTTGGGGAGCGTGGGAATTTGGAAAATTTGGGAAATTTGGGGAATGTGGGAATTTGGGGAATATGGAAATTTGGGGAATGTAGGAATTTGGGGAGCGTGGGAATTTGGGGAATATGGAAATTTGGGGAGCGTGGGAATTTGGGGAATATGGAAATTTGGGGAATGTGGGAATTTGGGAAATTTGGAAAATTTGAGAAATTTGGGAAATTAAACAATTTAGAAACTTAAAAACACAAAATTTGAAAAGTACATTTCTTAATTCGAGAATCCAGAAACTATAAACTTTGAACACTCAAAATTTGAGAAATTTCAAAAAACAACTATACCTCGCAACAAAAATCAATAATTCCGATTTTTATTCCGAGTCACTTGAAATACATTCGTATAATTTATTATTACTATTACCGATTGCTAAACTGTGATCCCACCAGTTGAACGAACATTGATAGAATTTCAGACCATAATTGTCGGCTATCACTTCGGCATACGGTGGTGAGCTCAGTGTCCATGTGCCAAGATAAATTAACATTACTAACAGTATTGGAACCATCCACTGCAGTAATTGCTTGTCCGTGAGTTTCACTTTGTGTGCGCTCTTGACACGGTACGTGAGAGAAACACTGTGACAGATATTTTCTTTATTTCATGCTTTCATATTTGAACTTATACAATTTTTACACAAACAGCAATTTATAATCGCGTCATTTAAAAAAAGTAGATTGAAACATTTAATACTAAATGTATAGGTTAGATCATCTGATGTCATCTTGATTTAAATTATAATTTTTTATATAAAAACTGTAAATACAATTTTATAATTCTTTTTTTAGAGAGAAATTTTTATAAATGTACAGGTAGTCGTGTCATTAAAAATTTTTGTAATTTAAAAATAAATATTGTTTATATCTCAAATTATTTTTATTTAGGAAAATTTATTTATCTTCATTTTAATTATTGTATATTACTTCCTCCACGTATGTAATTATATTTTATTTTAATTATTATTTCTGCTTTCATAGTTAAGCAATTTTAATGTATACTAATTATGCTCTTTTTCATTGTTACTTAATTTTGTAATATTTTAATTATTGCATTTTACTGTTTTTTTATCGAAATAAATCAAGATAATATCAGATCAGAATAATTATTTTTGCCTATCTATATTTCTTACCGCCAAGTTTTCATCAACAACGCGGTGTAGGAAATACAAAACCCAAGATGTCTCGTCCATTTTGTCGCGATACAAGAATACATATCCAAAACAGGAAATATGGCAGCCATCTGAGTGCATAACATTTGATATATGATAAGTAGAACACTATAATATACATAGTAGACTCTCATTATATTGCCGATACTATGTTTTTGCATCACAGAAGGTTAAAACAAATTCATCTTTCAGTACATCCTTTGTTGCATTAATTTATCTCCACTATGGCAATATAACGAGAGTCTACGTTATACTAGTATCTATAATAAATTTTCTAGAAGTGCAATATTACATGTGAACAATAGGTATACAAGCCTTTGTATACGTACTTCGAGATACATAATAGCACAACCCAAAAGCGTAATGGATAGAAATATCGGCGAAGCGACCTTGAACACTTTAAGCTTACGGTGTTGATACATGTAGGCCACCAAAACGATGGTACCAAACACACAGAAAATGGAGAATGATAAAAGGGTGATTCTGCAAACAAATTTCTTATCAGTTTTCAAAAACCAAGTTAACAAAACAAGTTTAAAATATATTGCAATATAACTTATTTACAATTCTTTGCCTCAATTAGTATTTCATAACTGATAATTATTTATGAAGTTTCTAATTTTAATTAAAAAATACTAGAAAATATGAAATTTTAGTTTGATACTATTTGGAGGAATCAAGCACTAAATGTTAATATTATATCGTGACATAATTGAATCAGAATATGTTTACATAAATCATATTGGATATAAAATTTAAAGCATACTAGATATATTGCATGTTTTAGTATACTTGATATATTTAGTATAATTTATAATTAAAGTATAGTATATTGATTATATTAAATTTAATATCAAAATTCGTTGTCTCTCTAATTCCCTATCTCTCTAATTCCCTATCTTCCTAATTCCCTATCTCTCTAATTCCCTATCTCCCTCATTCCCTATTTTCCTAATTCCCAATTTCCCTAATTCCTCAATTCCCTAATTCCCCAATTTTCTAATCCCCCAACTCCCTAATTCCCTATCCCTCTAATTCCCTATCCCTCTAATTCCCTATCTTCCTAATTCCCTATCTCCCTAATACCCTATCTCCCTAATTTCCCATCTCTCTAATTCCCTACCTCCCTAATTCCCTATCTCCCTAATTCCCTATCTTCTTAATTCCCAATCTCCCTAATTCCTCAATTCCCTAATTCCCTAATTTCCTAATCCCCCAACTCCCTAATTCCCTATCTCTCTAATTCCCTATCTCCCTAATTCCCTAATTCCCTAATTCCCTAATTCCCTAATTCCCTAATTCCCTAACTCCCTAATTCCCTAACTCCCTAATTCCCTAATTCCCTAATAAAATGTGAAGTTAAATTTAATAATAATTTAAATATTTAATTATAATAAATAATAATAATAATAATAATAATTTAATGTCCCAAATTAAACTTCATATAACTATAACATATTTACACAAATTTAAATATACAACTATTTAAAATGATCCACTCAAATACTTCACTAGAATTATTTCTCACGTGCCAATTTTTCCAATGTGGATTTCTTCCAACTAATAAAACACTTTCTCTAGATCACCTTAAATGAATCAGTACATTTTTCACGATATACTACTATAATATCGTTTTGTATCGAAGTTTCATACCGAAAGGGCCAGTTGTAAGTGGCTAAACAAGGCTCAGGCCCTTTGCACTTGGCGCATCCCGGTGCACAACGCAAACATCGAAACTCTATCACGTACGAATCGCTCACGTTTTCTTGCATCTCCTTCCAAGCAGCTGCAAAATTTTGGAAATTCGGGTTAATCGTGTCTCTATAATGAAAGTTTAAATTAGTTATTAACCTTCCACGAGAATTCCATCGAAGCCAGACTGATGTTGATTCGTGCTGTAATAACCCTTTCGACATTTGCATATGTATGCACCCTTAACCCATCCAGCACCCACTCCATTGTGATTAACGCGATCTCCAGGAGTTTGATATTCGCACTGCAAATAAAATAGCTTGTGTTTCATCAATTTTGTTCATTTAGGAAAATTATATTTATAATGTGTTTATCACTGAAAATTATATTTGTAATAAATATTTTTAATATGTTTATCGTTTAATTGACTGGAGGTACATTATATTTGTAATTGGATATTTAGACTGATTTTCAGTTTGCAATTTAAATTGTTTATCACGAGTTTATGATATTAATATTAGCACATTATTGTCACTTTATGAAATTGTTAACTTTCTGTCAAAATTATTTACATTATACTATTGTTAATTTTCTATGAAAATTATTTACAATATACTATTGTTAAACTTCTATGAAAAATATTTGTTATACTACAGTTAATTTTCTATGAAAATTATTTGCAATACACTATCGCTCATTTTCTACAGAAATTATTTATAATGTACTACTGTTAATTTTCTATGAAAATTATTTACAATATAAAATTGTAAAAATTGAAAACTTAATAAAATTTGATTAACATGCATGGTACAAGTTTACTATTTTTAATTTTTATAAATTATATTCTAGTAAGAGTAGGTTTGATTGTTATTGTTAAATGTTAATTACGAGTTACCTGAGTAGTGTCATTATGACACTTGTGTGTGCCTTTAAAAGATGCTATTTGATTACTTAAAGCTTCGTTTTCACTAGTTTGCGATGATGCATCGCATTGATTTACTTCTAATCCGCTGATGTCAATATCCACGCTTAAAAATTCTCGAATTCTGCAAATAAAGTGCATAAAACCCTATTATTATTATAGTATCAAATAGATATTTCATTTTGAAAAATCAGATATGTATATTTGAAGTTTTCGAATTTTCAAATTTTCAATTTTTTGAACTTTCGAATTTTTAAATTTTCAAATTTCGAATATCCCAAATTCCCAAACTCCCTAGTTCTATAATTCCCCGATTCCCCCATTCCCCCATTCCCCCATTTCCTAATTTCCTAATTTCCTAATTTCCTAATTCGCTAATTCCCTCATTGCCTAATTCCCAAATTCACAAATTCACAAATTCACAAATTCCCAAATTCACAAATCTCCAAATTCACAAATTTCCAAATTCCCAAATTTTCAAATTCCCAAATTTTCAAATTCCCAAATTCCCAAATTCCTAAATTTCCAAATTTCCAAATTCCCAAATTTCCAAATTCCCAAATTCCCAAATTCCTAAATTCCTAAATTCCCAAATTCCCAAATTCTCAAATTCCCAAATTCCTAAATTCCTAAATTCCCAAATTCCCTATCTTCCTAATCCCTCAACTCCCTAATTCTCTAATCCCTCAACTCCCAAATTCCCAAATCCCTCAACTCCCAAATTCCTAAATTCCCAAATTCCCAAATTCCCAAATTCCCAAATTCCCAAATTCCCAAATTCTCAAATTCCTAAATTCCCTAATTCCCTATCCGCCTATTTCCTTATCTTCCTAATCTCTCAACTCCCTAATTCCCTAATCCCTCAACTCCTAAATTCCCTAATTCCCTAATCCCTCAACTCCCTAATTCCCTAATCCCTCAACTCCCAAATTCCCTAATTCCCTAATTCCCTAATTCCCTAATCCCTCAACTCCCTAATCCCTCAACTCCCTAATTCCCTAATCCCCCAACTCCCAAATTCCCTAATTCCCTAATTCCCAAATTCGAAAACCACCAATTTCCAAAACTCCCAAACTCCCAAACTCCCAAACTCCAAATTCCCAAATTCTAAAATCTTCAAATCCACATAGTAATCCTATTTACAAGTAATTTCTATTGTGAACGACGTTATAATAAATAAATGTTATCTAGGAATCATGTACGTACCCATGACGAGCATCCGGAGGACGTATATTAACGCTGTAGGAGATCAACCATCGATGGCTTTTACAGGAGAAGTACGGAATGGTCCACCAACCCCTGTAGGATTCAATCGCCGGTGACTGCATGAATTTCGGTGACCTGGGATAACACGCAAACGCCACAAACCGCCATAGAAACCTCGACCTCTTAATAAACACGCGTTTTGTGCAACGACCCCATTAATACAACCTCTTTTATTCCTTCCATTTTCTTTTTTAACCTTTGGTCCTGGCACTTCACGGTCATCCGGTGTACGAATATCAATTATTAAGTACTTTTTAGCGACTCTCAATTTTTGTCTGAATATTTCAACATTCGATATTTCTATTACTGTGTCAAGCTATTATTAATTATTTATTTTTTTTGCAGTAAATAATTGTTAAGGGAGGGATTATTAAACTTAAAATATTTGACGCGATTCAATATCATATCAGATTGTTTAAAATTCAATGAATGAAACTGTATAAAAGATTTTATGGATAGTTTTAATACAAAATGGCTGATTGTCATTATAGGATGTGACATAAGTTTATTAAGATTGTTTTTTGAAATTTTCTAATTTCTCAGTTTTTAAAAGTTTGTATGGTAACAATGTATATTATAAACTTTCAGTAACCATTTGAAATTTTATAATTCAACTGTTCCTACAAAAAATTATAATTATAAAATATTCTTGTTATAAAACATTACAAGAAAAATTATATAAAAATGGTACATGTTACATAAAAAAAGAATTGCTCTAAAAATTTAAATTTTTTATTAAGTTTCTAAGCTGCAATATACCACGTATGTATAGTATCGCAGTATATAGTTAAAGTAAACTTTCACTTTTTTTTCTATATCAGTCCATGCATGCATTTCGCGTATCTGTAGTGGTAACAATTGCTTCACGTTATTTTCGAAGGTTAGTTTTACGATGGTCTCTATAAATACCCTCGTGTTGCACATACATATATAGAAAGGTGAAGCGTATCGATTATCGTACATGTTTATTTAAGCGTTTATAACCCTCCTTCCATATGAAGATTTTGTTCGTATCCCTTGGATAAAATGTACGATGCTGTTTAACAACTTGAAACCTTCTTTAAACTTCGAGTAGTCGGACTTGAACGGGGTGTACAACCCTTTCGTACAGTACGAATATTCCTGGGGTTGTTTTCATTTTTTTCTTATTCAAAAATAATAGATGCTATTTTTTATATTTTTATAATTTTGTATTTTTTTAAATTTTGGTTATCGTTTTTAATTGTTGATACAATTTATTATTTGTTTTATTATTAAATAAATATTAGAATGATTAATTTTACTTGATTTTTAGAGACACTTATTTATTCCATATTTTATTCCAGAATTGTATTTAAACGATTTGTTCATAAACAATTAATAAGTTATCGAAACATTCAGACAATGCATGTATACAATGTATATAACTTTTTTGACGATTGAATTTTTTTTTCAAAATTGATTTAGCAAATCTGAAAAGAAACGTGTTCCAGTTTCACGTTTTTGTTAACGTGTATCGAGTTTCTATGACTTGACGCTTGTATGAAATAATGGAGGATGATGAATGATCGTGGAGCGCCTACAAAACATTTATATTCTCTTCTCGGTAAAAAATATTGTGTATTTAACGCATTGATTGTAATAATATTTTTCAACTTCTCTGAATTGAAGAGTAGACTACTTTATTGTATATTAAAGTTAGACTACTTTATATCAAATTTTGTAGTCTTCATAAAATTATCATCAATTATATTTTACAAATTTGAAATCTTACTGAAATTTTTCAAATTATAAATTTAAGTGAAATTTTTCAAATTTTAAACTTAAGTGAAATTTTTCAAATAATAAATTTAAGTGAAATTTTTCAAATTATAAATTTAAGTGAAATTTTACAAATTATAAATTTAATTGAAATTTTTCAAATTATAAATTTAAGTGAAATTTTTCAAATTATAAATTTAAGTGAAATTTTTCAAATTATAAATTTAAGTGAAATTTTTCAAATTATAAATTTAAGTGAAATTTTTCAAATTATAAATTTAAGTGAAATTTTTCAAATTATAAATTTAAGTGAAATTTTTCAAATTATAAATTTAAGTGAAATTTTTCAAATTATAAATTTAAGTGAAATTTTTCAAATTATAAATTTAAGTGAAATTTTTCAAATTATAAATTTAAGTGAAATTTTTCAAATTATAAATTTAAGTGAAATTTTACAAATTATAAATTTAATTGAAATTTTTCAAATTATAAATTTAAGTGAAATTTTTCAAATTATAAATTTAAGTGAAATTTTTCAAATTATAAATTTAAGTGAAATTTTTCAAATTATAAATTTAAGTGAAATTTTTCAAATTATAAATTTAAGTGAAATTTTTCAAATTATAAATTTAAGTGAAATTTTTCAAATTATAAATTTAAGTGAAATTTTTCAAATTATAAATTTAAGTGAAATTTTTCAAATTATAAATTTAAGTGAAATTTTTCAAATTATAAATTTAAGTGAAATTTTTCAAATTATAAATTTAAGTGAAATTTTTCAAATTATAAATTTAAGTGAAATTTTTCAAATTATAAATTTAAGTGAAATTTTTCAAATTATAAATTTAAATGAAATTTTTCAAATTATAAACTTAAGTGAAATTTTTTATATAATAAATCTTTTTGAAATTCTTCAAATTATAAACTTAAGTAAAATTTTTCAAATAATAAATCTTATTGAAACTTGTCAAATTATAAATCGTACTTAAAATGAACGTTTTACCAAGAAGAGTATTTTATCAAACAAAAATATACGTATGAAGGGTGAAGTGCGAGAAACGGGAAACAGAAAAGTTCATTTCACGTTGGTGCATTCGTGCAGGTTATAGTTTTTTGAAAGGGTGTGTGCAAACACATGAATGCATGGCTTTTTCTGGCGTTATCAAACAGTGTTATCCGTTATTAGTCAGATGAAAATTATACTAAATTAGAACGAAACAATATTCTTCTAATTTTGTCGAATTCTCTAAGTAATACGAAAACTGAACTACAAATTATAACTATAATAACTAATTTTAATTTACTTTTTAAATAAAATACAAATTAAAAAATGTAAGGTACATAAATGATTTATGATGTAACTTAAAATTGTATCATTCTTTGCTTCTAATAATTCTTTGCTAATAATATTACTTTATTGAAACTTTTATCAACCCTTTGCACTCGAGGACTCCAGGAGGACCGCCATTTTAAATTTGTCTTCAAACTCGAGGCTTATGGAGATAATGCAAATAACAATAATAATATTGATATAATGATTTATGTTTGAATATAAACAATAAAGAGAGTTGTTCACCCGATTTCTAAATATTAAATTGACAGCAGAAGAGCATAGGGTGTTTTAGTTTTTTAAGTTTTCTTTTTCTTTTCTATTGTTCCTCTCACTTCTTCTCACAACCCTTAGATAGTTAAGTTTGTACCAAAGATACTTTTTCTTTTATATTATTCAATTAGTTTGTGCTTATTATGATTTTGTATTATCTCCTTATGTCATTATATCTAACAACAAGTATGATTAGGTATTCATTTTTGTTTCATTTATATTAAACTTGAACAAACATATCAATATGGACAGATACATTAATTTATATGTAAATATGATTTTTATAGTAAATAAGACTTTATATCAAAGATACTTTTTCTCTTATATTATTCAATTAGTTTGTGCTTATTATGTTTTTGTATTATCTCCTTATGTTATTATATCTAACAATAAGTATGATTAGGTATTCATTTTTATTTCACTCATATTAAACTTGAACAAACATATCAATATGAACAAATACATAAATTTACATACAAACATGATTTTTCTAGTAAATAAGACATTTTTAAAAATGTCTATCCAAAAATGTTTCCAGTTGCAGATAACATAAAAGAATAAAAATTTCAAGTGCAAAGGGTTGAAACATGAAGATGTGTTATGATAGTGAAACATCATGCAAAATGTGAAGTATAATAACATGCATGGAATCGTAGGACAGACGAGTCAAACCTCAATTCCGTAGTGGTACCAGCATTTTCGAACCAAGGTAAATTAGGATCCGGTATCGATCCTGGTTCAAGTCCATGATTATCAACGTTCGATGGTTCTCCAACGCTCGCTGGATTTCTTTCCAACCAAACTGCACTAATCACTGAACCGGTAGACGCATTTAACGCTATCACTCTCGTTTCTACGGCGTCGTTCACGGACACCAGCAGAGATTTTGCTAACACCTCTAAAAGCACTGTACACGATAGATTTAAACTATTTTAGTAAATTCAGTTTAACTATTTTAGTAGAATTGCAAAATTTAATTTCCAAAATTTAAACACTATAAAATCTCACATTTTAGAATATTTTATTAGCTAAATTTCAAGTTTGTAAAGTATGAAACATTCAAATAATAAATTTCTGAAATTTTGAGATTCTCGAAATCTCAAAATCTTAGAATCTTCAAATTTCCAAATTTTCAGAATTGCAAATTCTCAAATCTCCAAATTCCCAAATCTCTAAAGTTTCAAATTCCCAAATTTTCCAATTCTCAAATCTTCAGAATTTCGAATCTCCCAATTTCCAAATCTGCCAATTCCCAAATTTCCCAATTCCCACATCTCCCAATTCCCAAATTTTCCAATTCCCAAACCTCCCAATTCCCAAATCTTCCAATTCCCAAACCTCCCAATTTCCAAATCTTCCAATTCCCAAATCTCCCAATTCCCAAATCTCCCGACTCCCAAATCCCCGAATTCCCAAATCCCCGAATTCCCAAATTTCCTAATTCCCAAACTCCCCCAATTCCCAAATCCCCGAATTTCCAAATCTCCCAATTCCCAAATCTCCCAACTCCCAAATCCCCGAATTCCCAAATCCCCGAGTTCCCAAATCTCCCAATTCCCAAACCCCCCTAATTCCGAAACTCCCCAATTCCCAAACCCCCCAATTCCCAAATCCCCGAATTCCCAAATTTCCCAACTCCCAAATCTCCCAACTCCCAAATCTCCCAATTCCCAAAACTCCCAACTCCCAAACGTCCCAACTCCCAAATCCCCCAACTCCCAAATCTCCCAACTCCCAAATCTTCCAATTCCCTAATTCCCCAATTCCCAAATCCCCAAATTTTCCATCTCAAAAATTGAAATTCCCAAACCTCCAACATCCCAACTCCCCAAACACTTCAAACCATCTCCCCAATTTCTGCTGAGGGAGCCTCCCAATTTCGGGTAGGACCAAGCACATTCTAATTCCTACCCAGTTAATCAAACAGTTGCTAATTCAGCGCTTTTAATCAAAAGTTTTCGTTAATTAGTGAAAAGTTACCATTATGCCTCGATCCTCCGATGGTGCCAAGATTTTGTAGCATAAGGGCGGTCATATCAGCTTTTTGGCGAGCGGTGTCGTATCGTCGCGGATCAAGTGCTACGGCAGCTGGTAAAGATTTGAAACCAGCTGTCGTTGCACAGTCTTCTCCTAACGACCCAATCGATGCCGCTTCTATCACATCCAGAGCTTTTTCAATATCCGCCTGTCAAAAATAATACGCTTCATTATTTCTCTCGACCACAAAATCATATTGTTAAGGAAAGACCAGATTTCTCTTTCTTTCTTTTGGCTATGTAACCTCTTTTATATTTTATCTCGTACATCTTGTATATTAACTCACATATGCAATGTATGATATTCGTATTAAGTTTGATATGTAATAGGTATAAGTTTTAGAAAATAGATATTGTTTGAACACATTATATATTTACATATTGGTTAGTATGTTGACTCATGTATTGATCACTCAATTGACTCATGTATCAATTACTCAACTGACTCATGAATTGGTTACTCACTTGACTTGTGCATTGATTACTCAATCGACTCATGTATTGATTACTGAATTGATTTATGTATTGATTACTCAATTGACTCATTTATTGATTATGCAATTGACTCATGTATTGATTACTCAATTGATTTATGTATTGATTACTCAATTGACTCAATTGATTCATGTATTGATTATTCAATTGACTCATGTATTGATTACTCAACTGATTCATGTATTGGTTACTCACTTGACTTGTGCATTGATTACTCAATTGACTCATGTATTGATTACTCAATTGATTCAAGTATTGATTACTCAATTAACTCACGTGTTGATTATTCAATTGACTCATATATTGATTTCTCAATTGATTTTTATATTGATCACTCGATTGACTTATGCATTGATTACTCAATTGCCTCATGTATTGATTATTCAATTGCTTTACGTATTGGTTACTCAAGTGACTATTAACTTGACTTATATATTAATTATTAAATTGACTTACATATTGGTTATTCAATTGACTATTAACTTGACTTATGTATTGATTATTCAATTGACTTATACATTGATTATTAACTTGACTTACATATTGATTACTCAATTGTCTATTAACTTCATTTATGTATTGATCATTAAATTGATTTATATATTGATTATTAAATTAAGTCATGTATTGATTACTGAATTGACTCATGTATTGATTGTTACATCGGTTTATATACAAATTATTAAATGACTTAGTGGTTGTACGCCACTCTACCCAAATTAATCAACAAAGAGTCAAAAGTTATATCAACAAACTTGATATAAATTTAATAAAATTTAATTATACTTGTGCAATTAACTGTTTACCCTCTTTGTATCCAGAATATCGGTGTTGGCAGCCGTGGTGAGAGACGGCACCGAGGTTGAAGTAGCCGTCGTTACGGTGATGTACGACATTATTGTCATCGTCGTCATCGTCACAGGAAACAGGGCCAAAAGCCAGGATGTGCCCATTCCGCGTCCTGCTCATTTGTACCTACAAATAATCTTACTCTAATTAATTAATTCCTCTTCGTGTAATTACGGAGAAATGCGGGTAAACTTTGCACATCTGGCAATACTTCGATGCTTCACATTTTTGTGTACGATGTAAATATTGTGAATAATATGGAGATTTGTAAATAATGTGGAAGTGGCTTTATTTTCAAATTTCCAAAATTCTAAATTTTCAAATTTCCAAGTTTCCAAATTTCCAAATTTCCAAATTTTCAAATTTCCAAGTTTCCAAATTTCCAAATTTCCAAATTTTCAAATTTCCAAGTTTCCAAATTTCCAAATTTCCAAATTTTCAAATTTCCAAGTTTCCAAATTTCCAAATTTCCAAATTTTCAAATTTCCAAGTTTCCAAATTTTCCACGCCCCAAATTTCCAAATTTCCAAATTTCCAAATTCCCAAATTTCTAAATTACCAAATTTCCAGATCTCTAGTGTCCCAAATTTGCAAATTTCCAAATCTTTAATGTCCCAAATTTGCAAATTTCCAAATCTTTAATGTCCCAAATTTGCAAATTTCCAAATCTCTAATATCTCAAATTTCTCAATTTCCAAATTCCCAAATTTTCAAATTTCCAAAATTCCAAAATTCCAAAATTCCAAAATTCCAAAATTCCAAAATTCCAAAATTCCAAAATTCCAAAATTCAAAATTTCCAAATTCCCAAATACCTAAATTTATACATTCTTAAATTCCTAAATTCCTCAAACTCTCAAACCTTCAAAGTTCCAATTCAACTTAAAAATATAAAAATTTACAAATTTAAAAATTAAAAAATTCAGAATTTAACAAAATTAAAAATTCATGTCTGTACTAACCTTTTTCTCTGCATTCAAGTGGTGTCAAATTTTAGCCCCGGGTCCATGGGGCATTCATCCGTCCCTTCCAATATCCTCGACATTCTGCTAAATGATTCTCTGAGCTCCTTCAATGATCTACCCTTAATGATCATTCATCGTCAACACACTAATCTGTCGAATTAAAAAACAATCTTTTATAACTCCTTACAAACGATTCATATTTTGTATAATTCTATATTTAGTTTGACAACAAACAATTATTACAAGATCAAATATTTCTAATAGTCAAACACTGCATAACCTAAAAACATAACCTAAAAATTCTGACACGTATACTTAACAAAACGTTTCAATTTACCAATATTTATCCTCTCAAGCTTACAAACGAGAGATCTTCACAAAAGAATAATATACAGTGTAAGATTAAAGAAGAAATAAAAATTTTCATTCTAAAATTACAAATTTAATTTCTGGAAAGAGACTCAGCTCGGTTAAAAGACTTCTTTTAAGCATGCAGCTTATTTTCTTGACTCTGAAGTAAATCAAAATAAAGAACCGTAGTCGTGATCTTGGTGATAAAGGTCTGCTTGATGAACATTCCACGACGATAGACCTCGAACTACTTCCTTTACCCTCGGGAATCCTGTTCATGGTCAAGTGCATAATAAAATTACTAAAGCATCTCGCTCTTTATTGTCCGGCAGACGTAAAACACATTCTGTTTGATTGTTTTAAGGTGCTGTGTGCAATGTTTCTAAACGACGATTAACAAATTTCATTGGATACAATTTTTAATACTAACTGGTTACCAGTTGATAATTTTCAATGCATCTATAATAAAAAAAAGATATATATATAATTTTTAATGTTGATGCATGATAATTTTTTGATAGTCAAATTTTATAACTGTTATGAGACAGTGAAGTTTATTTAATTATTAGGGCATAAGAATTGAGTAAATTATTATTATTATTATTATATAAAATGTTATACTTTGTTATGTTTTAAATTATATTATATTTTATGTAATATTTCAACAAGTTTTTCATTTTGATTTCAATTTTAGGACAGTCATAAACGATAATAATTTTTTTGAGATGAAACATCATAGCATTATTATTATTACTCTTATTATTATTATTATTATTATTAAATAGTACTGTATACTGTTATTAAATAAAGTTTAAATGTATTATATTTTGAACTATATATATTTTAAACAGAATTTTACAAGATCTTCTTCGAAAAGCAATAAACCTGGAAATTTCAATCGAACGAATATTTCCGTATATAAAATTTGCTTAAAAGAGAGACGAGAAATTGATTCGTTTAAATTCCAGACTGCAATATTTGCCTGTTTTCTTTTTTTATCAAAGTAAATGTCATTCGTTTGCGATTAAACCCTGTCAGTTTTATCTGTCGGCGATAAAGTCCGTCCCAGAACTAGGGCAATTTCCAGAACAAAAATTCGTCACAAATCCAATAATTGTTCACCGCTCGAACCGAACTGTAAGCAATTTACAAGTTCCTGCTGTATTCCAGGCTAGGGCGTTATGCAATAGTCTATATTATTTATATCAAAATGAAAATAATACTTTATTTCTTTTAAAATTTATTCACGTTAACAAATTATGACATTTAGCATCAATTTTGAATATTTAAGGATGTACTTTAGAGTGGTTCATTTGTATTCGAGTATTATTTAAATTTTATTTATAGGACTATAATTTGGCTCTGAATTGTTTGACATAGTTCGTGTTTAACATAATAATTTTAATTAATTATATTTGCAAATTTTTATGTTGTTAAATATTTAAATTTCTGATGGATATTTTCCTCGAAGAATCATATTTTCAAATGATGTTCAGAATGATGTTCCTTACCACCCTTTTCAGGGAGTAACACTAGTTATGAGACACCCTGTATATCTGTAGATTTCTACATCTTCAAATATCTACAAAATGTCTCTACACTCAAATATTTTTATTTCAAAATTTATATCTATATGCAAGATGTCCACATGTCCCAATTTCAGTCTAGTACCTCCATGACATAATACAATTCACATATGAATGTACAGTTCCCAAAAAAAGAATATGGTAGTCATAAACTTGTGCTGCTACTGTACTCCACTGACTCAGATAAGCCTAATACCTCTATGACATAATACAATTCACATATGAACGTGTAGTTTCCAAAAAACAATATACTACCCATAAACTTGTGTCCCTACTATAGTCCACTGACTCTATAGTCCACTAACTCAATTAAATCTACCTCCACATAAAACAATTCATGAACGTACAGTTCCAAAAAAAGAATATGGTAGCCATAAACTTGTGTCCCTACTATAGTCCACTGACTCAGATAAGCCTAGTACCTCTATGACATAATACAATTCACGTGTGAAGGTACAGTTTCCAAAAAGCAATATACTACCCATAAACTTGTGTCCCTACTATAGTCCACTGACTCTATAGTCCATTAACTCAATTAAATCTACCTCCACATAAAACAATTCATGAACGTACAGTTCCCAAAAAAGAATATGGTAGCCAAACTTGTGCTGCTACTGTAATCCACTGACTCAGATGAGTCTAGTACCTCTATGACATAATACAATTCATGTGTGAACGTACAGTTCCCAAAAAGCAATATACTACCCATAAACTTGTGTCTCTACTATAGTCCACTGACTCTATAGTCCACTCAATTAAGTCTACCTCCACATAATACAATTCATAATCGTACAATCCCCCAAAAAATTCTACAACAGCCACAAACTTTTGTTCCCTACTGTCCAGTGATTCAACTAACTGATATCTGCGTTCAGTTTTATAGCAGTCGTAATGATCGCGTTGCGGGCAAGTTGTCAAGAGGAAATCACAAAAACCGGCAACCAACCGTTTGGTATAATTACTCGTTATGGTGAGTCATGATATTTTTCAAGGAAGGGAAACCACATCGTTCATGTGAGGAGAGCTCTACCGCGCAGTAGAAACGATCGATGCAGCCACCGGCACAACCAGCTATCCCCAGAGCGCTCCTCCCTGCCCCTCCTTTTCTATCACTCCACCCAGAGACAAATGTAATAGGTAACTTAAATCGTTCTTGAAATCATTGCTTCGAACTGTTTCGATAATATCCTTCCCGTCCAAACGGATTATCCTCGCAAATACCGAGTCTGATACGAAAACGGACTACGTGACTAACTTGATTTTGCTCTTCAATTTTTGGCTGAACATTTGTGGAGGGTCGGAATTGAATTTGATTATTTTAGAATGTTGGCGGTGGTTCAATTTTGGTTTTTATTAAATTCAACTGTGGTCTGTGGGATACATTGTTTGAAAATGAGGGCTAACCATAAAACACTGAACTGTTTATTTACTGTTTTAATAATTCTTTTAATTGATTTGTGATTTTCAAATGGGGAGTTGAGTTGCGATAAAAAATAAAATTAATCTCTCGTTAAATTATTATATATTTTAAACACGTTCCAGTTTTCATAATTATTACTTTCTAACCTATAATAGTATTTGATGAGTTTACAACCGAGGTAAAATTAAAATAAAAATTTGGCACTTGATGGTTTACAATAAGGTTAGGTTAGGATTTTAATAAGATAATCTTCTAAGCTATATATTAGTTATTAATTTCATAAAAAAATATATGAAGCTGTACAATAATTTGTTCAAATTAGGAATGCATTAAAAATACAGCACCACATCAATTTTTGTTTATAGAATTATAAAATATCGTGGTAGTAAGGTTAGGTTAAAAGAAAAATTACAACAAATATTTTCGTTAATAACTACTTAAATATTCAATCTTGTACTTGAAAGTTTATTTACAAATTTGAACAGCAACATACGATGATCAGTCTGAAAAATTCTGTTTATAAAAAATGAATATTTTATAACAATAATATTCTTATATTTCATGATAAAATTCACCTTAAACATAAATAGAAAATATCTTAAATCTCAATGTGTTCGAAAACATAAAACTTGTCCCACATTACTTTGACTTTTTGTTTCGAAGACAAAGCAATCACGTCCTGTTACTCTGTTTTTGTGCGCCATATTATTGTACGAAGATGTTTCTGCGTAATGATTTCTTATGGGGTAGATTGATACGTCTTCTCCGGGACATGTTGATACAGTATCGATTTACAACTATTTTTAGTTGCATTCTTTTCTTTTATTTCTATAAAGTCCTTCGAAATGTTAAGACAAGGTAAATATTTTTAATGAAGCTTTTATTACGATTTTTATTTCTGTGTCTTTCATTGTCAATGACAAAATGCAAAAATGTATAAAAACGATTTTGTCGAGGAACATTAATAAAAAGAGCAAGAATTGACCTAAAACTGTTTCTCATATAAAATTTTAATTATCAGTAGCTGCAGAAATGTGCTCTCAAAGATTTATCCTGCAATACTTATTAAAATTTGCTATAAAATATTTTATGTAAAGCAGACATACCTCAAGGTAACACATTTCAATTTCTCTAATTAATTTACATGCATTTTTTCCAAATTTCCAGAACATATATTAGTAAATTTTTAATTAAACAACGAATTAAAGATTAAAAGCAGCAAAACCTGTCCCAATGTACGGTCGTAACTCTCCAAAATTTCATTTAGATTAAAATGCAACGTTGTGTACTAGCCAGAAAAATTGTTGGTAAAATTTTAATTTGCCTCGTAAACTGCAGCCGTGATTTTTCAAGATATCGTTTTAAATATTCATTAAACGGGAACGAACAAAAATGTCGGATATTGTAGGAGAGATTTAACGGTCGTCGTTCATCTGTCGATGGAGCTATTAGCGAAATAACAGCATGTTGATACTAATTAGCCGCTATTATATTATTACGATCAACGTCGATACGTGGTATTAGTTTTCATAACCAATTATATGTATCTTAACAGTTTCGCCATTTACGCAGCGTGCTCCGGTACGCGATTCATTGCGTTAATACCTCCGATGAAATGTGACGCAATTTTAATAGGTTATGCAACGCGAAGATCATAGGCATTTATAATGATAACAAAATGTGTTATTAACTTTTGAAACAAGTTTTTTTTTAAACTTCTTATTTATGAAGGTGCGTCGTGTAAATACGAGCATAATGGGGTCATTCGCGCTTGACCTTTCTTTAATATGAGA